CACTCTGCCTGTCAAAAAACAAAACAAAACAAAACAAAACAACAAAAAAAACCACTTTACTATTGCCTGTGCTTCTACCCATGGTACCTACTTCAAGGTTTAATATTCTTCATAGCTCTTAGGGTTGTCAGAAATTATTTTGTTCATTTTTTGTACTTTTACAAAATCTCCCTGCCTAAAAGTAAATTCTGTGGAGTAGGAACATCTTGTTCTTACTCACCGTTGTCTCCCTAAGCCTGGCGTGCAGCATTTGGTCAATAAGTGGCTGTTAAATTAATGGACAGTGTCCTTCTTCCTTTTCCTCTTCCTGTGTGTCATGCTTAGCGTTCTATGTGTTTTTATCTCACCTGTTAGATTGTGGGCTGCCTGAGGGAACAGTCTTCTTGTAAATTCTTTCATCTTGAGGGCTTATTCCTAAGGGATGGCAGGAGAGATGTGGTGAGTATCCCGTGACAGGCAGTGCCCCAGCGTGGAGCGCGTCCGGTGCCCTCCTAGCTCGTGCCTGGGAAACCACTCCAGTGGCCAGAAAGACTGAGCCCATTCTTCACGTTCTCTTTATATTTCTCTTATTCCGCTTCAGAAACCAGACACAGGAAACATCTGACCATAATAAAAGATTTCCAGTAAATTCTAGATTTTCTCATTGAACAAAGCCATGTGCAGCCAGGCTCTGTTGTGCTTTGGTCTGGAATTCTGTTTGGTCATTTGTGTAGCGCACCACATGGCTGCCTCTGGCCTGCGAGCCAGAAACAGCTGGAGCCTGCAGCGCCCGAGTGAAAACGACGCGTTTGTTTGCCCGAGAGGCGAAAGCCTGCCTGTCCTTTGCTCTGTTTCTTGCAAAGCAAACGCCTCACTTTGTGGAACGCTCAGTTTTCCCGTGAGCCGTCAGAGTGGTTTATAACTAAAATAATCTCACATCCTTCAGAATAAACACAAATAATGAATGGCCAAACCGTTTCTGAAGTCTGTGCCTTCAGTGCTCAAAGCAAGATCCATCAAAACGGACACAAAACATGAATGTGTCACTAACTTCCTCTTGGAATTTCTAGCCTCTCACTTGTGTCCGCTTAGGTGTGGGGGCCTTGCTCTCGGCAGCCCCCCTCTGCCTCTCCTTAGGTGTGGGGGCCTTGCTCTCGGCAGCCCCCCTCTGCTTGCAAGACTTAGGCTTGCCCTGTCCCCCAAGACCACCAGTGCTGCTGCTTCCCTCACTCACCCTCCTCACCCCCCAGCTCTGTGCGCGCACCTGCTCGCTTGTGTCTGCTGCCTCACTCAGCCCTGGCTTTCTGTTATCTGGCCCTGGGTCTGGCACATCACTGGCTCTTGACAGTATTTGTGGGGAGGAGGGAGGAAGGGGAGGGGGAGTCTGGTCCACTTAGGGGTGGGGGTACGTTTAAGTGGCGTGAAATGACCTCAGGGATGAAAAGTAGGAGCCAAACGGCCTCTCCGAAGCACAGTGAATAAGGAAAGCCACCAAAAGTATGGCGAGTAAGACATCACCTATACTCCTATCACCCAGGGACAACCACTGTAGGCACTTGGTCTTGTTTAGTCTCACGTCTCAGTCTTTTTTCTTTTCTTTGCATTTTGATGGAAGTTTACGGAGGGTCATATCAGGACTGCTTGTGCATGCGAAGAAGGTAAATTGCAAGTGGAAAACTGCTTGTCGCACTGCAGTAAGGAGTGAAGATGCTGCTTTGTTGTCGCTCATCTGAGCAGTTGGCTCCTCGGGAACCTACGCCTGAGCTCCTGCAGGAGTGCTCTCCTCTCTCCCCTGTGAGCACTTCTATCTTCTGCGGGGAGACTGGGCCCGGAGCCCTGGGCAGTGCAAGGAGAGGTCCTCGGGACTGACTTGAACTGAGCTGCCGTCAGTGTCGAGCTTGGGAAACAACATGCAGATAACACCACCTGTGGAAGAAAGCAAGGATGTGTACTAGTTTATTCCTCAGTTCTTGACACATGTTGACCATTTTCTGTATGTCAGTCAGTGAACTAGGCATCGGAGTCTCCACGTGAGCGGACAGTCCTGGTCCTCGGGGAAGCTGCAGCTCAGTGAGGAAGGAGAGAAGGGGCACAGGTTCGAATTTGGTGTGGCGCATGCTGCGGTAGACTTGCAGCAGTGGCCTGAAGAAGAGAGCAAGCCGCTTCTGCAGGGGAGGCTTCAAGAGAGGGGCTGGCCGGTGCTGCAGCTCACTTGGCTAATCCTCCACTTGTGGCACCCGCATCCTGGGTTCTAGTCCCGGTTGGGGCACCAGATTCTGTCCTGGTTGTTCCTCTTCCAGTCCAGCTTTCTGCTGTGGTCCAGGAAGGCAGTGGAGGATGACCCAAGTGCTTGGGCCCTGCACCTGCATGGGAGACCAGGAGGAAGCACCTGGCTCCTGGCTTCGGATCAGCGCAGTGCACTGGCCATAGCAGCCATTTGGGGGGTGAACCAACAGAAGGAAGACCTTTCTCTCTGTCTCTCTCTCACTGTCTATAACTCTCTCTCTCTCTCTCTCACTCTCTCACTCTCACTCTCACTGTCTAACTCTGCCTGTCAAAAAATAAATAAAAAAAAACTAAGGGGAAGGAGATAATTCCTTATTAAAAAAAAAGAAGAGGGGCTGGTTGAGTTGGGTCTTGATGGACTAGTGTTGGGGAGGGGAGAGAATGTTTCACACACATAGGCAGAAAGAGAATGGCTGGTGTCTGAACACAGGGAGGCACATCTCTGTGGGGCCATGTAGTCTGGCGTGTCTGGAACATGGGATAGGAGGCGTGGCAGATCAGGGAAAATGCAGCAAATTTGAATACCAGAGTTTGATGTTTGTTTTACAGGCTGTGGGAAGGCACTGAAGGATTTTAATCAGGAGCCCCAATGCAGTCTGATGTTCTTTCTGGACGAATTGGTGTAGAGAATGGATAGAACTGGGCTGAGGTGGAGGCAGAGGTGTGGTCCCAGCAAAAAGGGACAGCCACATTTTCAGAGAAGTAAACCTCAGAGATGGAAACCAGCTTGGTGGCCTGGGGCTGGAGGTAGGGGTGGTGGTGACTGAATGAGCCCAAGGGGTCTGTTAGGGTGATAAATTGTTCTGCAGGTGCATTGTGGTGATGGTTGCAGAGCTCTGCCAGCTTTCTGAAAGGCATTGAGTTGTACACTTAAACGAATGAGTCTGTGCTAGACAAATTATACTTCAATAGCTCTTCTAAGTCGGGGGAGGCAGGGGACAGGCTTCTACTTTATTGAGAGGAAACAGATGTGAGAAATGCTGATGAACAGGGGAATCTGTAGGAGGTAAACATTGTGTGAGATGGGGTGGTCGCCCCTCTCGGTTCAGCCAAGTGTCCCAGTTGTGCTTCTGCACTTTTGTAAAAAGATGGCAACCTCCCCTTTTCTTGGTGCTTTTCAAAGCATGTGGACCTGCCTCCACCTGGGAGGTACAGAGTATCTGTCTCTGGGTCCTCAGAGGAAGCCACGTCCTCCAGCGCACATGGTTCTGAGAGAAAACACTGATGGAGGGCTGCCTGCAGCTCTGCAGTCCACTCATCTTGCAGTGGTTGTTAGTGCCAGGAGGTATGATGGTAATGGGTGCTGAGGATGGTAACGGGGTGCAGCAGGAGCATGTCGTCCAGTGGTGGGAACAGGCGTGGAGACAGGTAGCTCTCAGGATGAGCTTGCAGTGTTGTTTACAGATGTGACAACTGTTGTGTTGCGTTTCCACGTGCAGTGAGAGAAAATGACACACACACACACACACACACACACACACACTGGGATCTGGAGAATGCCAGGGTGGGAATGTGGCTGTACACCCTGGTCCTGTATGCATCCAGCTGTCACACCTTGGTCGTGAGGGAGCCTTTTGAATCTGATCCCTTTTGAGTCTGGGGTCCCCTGGGTTGTCTTGGGCCTGATGTCATCCTAGTGCCCCTTGTCATGCTTTTCATTGGATTGTTCATTGGCTTTTACCATCACTTTGCTTTGGCTCTCGTTGTAAGAAATAGCCACACTGGAGTCTGAGTGCTTCCTACAGAAATGCTGTGGAAGATGCAATCCTCAGCCACGTGCAGCAGCCCCTTTATTAAGGCCCAGAGAGAAGTGCTGTCTTTTGCATTTGCTTTTACATTCTGGTCTTGTGGCTCAGAAGCCCAGGCCTGGTCTTGCTTCAGGCCCACACCTGGCCCCCACCTGGCCCCCTCTGCCTGGGACGCCCCAGCGCCCACTCCCCTTCTTCCTTGGTCTGGTTCCCAACACAGACTTTGAGAGCACTCCCTTTTCTTTTGCATTCTATCCATTTCTAGTTCAACGTTTCTAAACATTTCTTCTTTGGCCCCTGATTTCCTTTTCTCTCCTGAGAGCAGGGAGATCTTGAAGGTAAAAAAATGCTTTTTTTTTCTTACTGCAGTGTCTCAAGGTCACAGTGTAGTTTTCTGCACGTATTAAGTGCCCAGTGAATATCGTGTGAGTGACTGAAAGGGTGACAGCGTCATGGGCACCCCTTTCTCCTTCTCCCCTGGGCTCTGTGCAAGCTCAGACCCTCCTCGATTCTCTTGCAGAGTTTGCGTAGGTCCTCATGGCATGCGTTTTGTGCACTCACATCTCCCTCACTGCAGTGTTTTTCCTGCCTTTGAAATAATAAACAGTTGGACATGTGAATATTAGAAAGAGAGAGGTCAAAGGGGAAATGTTAATGGCTTTAACAGATGCAGGAGGCAAGTTTCAATTTGCTTTGTTTTAATTTTACTTTTACTAGGAGAAGGAAGGAGTCTGTGTGCCCCCCTGAAGAATTTGGGGGCTGCCCTTGCCCTGAGATGTTCTGGCTGGGGGCAGGAGGTACGGGGTGCTGGGCCCAGCAGGGCCTGCTGGCCTGGGGATGGGTGGCATGAGCCGGGAAGCTGTCTGCCTGGCTGGCTTCCCTCCCGGGTGTCTCTTCCTCAGGAGGGTTGGGGCAGAGGCAGTGGGAGCTTGTTATTTTTTTACTGCACGAAGAAGAAAGAAATGAACTTGTCCTCTTGTGTTGCAGATTCAGTGGTTCTTTCCTTTGACTCCGCTGGACAGACGCTAGGCTCAGGTACCAGTCCTCCCCTCTGTCGTCTTTGCAGCTCTCAGTGCTGGCCGTGTTGGTAGCAGAGCTGAATGAGCTGGGGGCTGGCGGGGAGGGCAGGGGACGTTGCACCCCATACGCTCAGATACACACCTCCTCCGGGACAGGAGCCCATGCCGCGCTCAGGCTGGATGGTGTGGGCAGACACACCCCCTCTCGCCTGTGTTTACCGCACACATTGGTGCCCCCCACCCTTTGGCCCAGACTCGCCGAAACCTAGGGTAGCTTTGCTGTCCCGTGTCTGAAGCAGTCCCCATGCTCTGCACAACTGCTTGCCACCGTCGGGTCCCCGGGGGGAGCCCCAGAATGCCTTGATGTGGCTTCACTTGTACTGTGGGTGCTGCCTGTGAATACCTGGGAGACTTTGCTGGCTGTTGAGGGTGGTTAAGCCACTTGGAATGCAATTGTGGAATGCAATCGATTGATATCTCACAGAACTGCCATGAGGTTGAGGCAGTTGTGGTGGAGTGGACAAGAGGAAGGACGTTCTGAGAATATAGTTCCAGCTACCACTGTTCACTGAGGGCCTGCTTTTGCTAGCAAAATGCTGAGTGCCATGTCCACTTCTCACTCATCCCTCAGAATAATAATGATGGCTCTAATTGTAGCAGAGAAACCAGTGCTTAAAGATAGGAAGCAGCCTGCTCCGGGCTGTTTGTCTCTGTCCAAACCTAGAGCCCATGCTCTCCCCCTTCCCCTCTTGCCCTCTTGGACCTCGTATCCTCAAGGTGCCCCCACCCCTGAAAATGCCAAAGCAGGAGAAGTTGCTTTCAGATAGAGTGCAGAGATAGAAAGAACTCTTATGTAGGTCCAAAGGTTGTGTTTATTCATTTAGGAGAAGATTGATCAGTTTTGTTATGATAGCTGGGAACTTATGTTTATCAAGACTCCCTTAAGAGCAGGAACGGACAGTTCATCTGGGCATCCACCCCAGATAACTAGCAGAGGGTTTGTTTCCAGAATAGAGACTCAAACAAAACCAGCAGGAATAAAGAGGCTGCCCAGGAGAGGAATGAGCAAAAGGCTTGAACAGGCACTTCCCAGAAGAGGGAGTCCAAATGGCCAGTAAACATATGAAAAGGTGTTTGGTGGCATTAGTGTTCAGGAACATGCAGACTGGAATCACAGTGAGGTGCCACTGTCTGTCTACCATATGGCAGGACTTGGCACACTTGACAGAGCCACAGCTGGTAAGGCCACAGTGTGGTGGGAGCTCTATGTCTATACTGTTGGGGGAGGTTGAATTGGTACAACTGCTTTGGACAAAACCATGGTAGTGTCCCACGAAACTTGAATCCACGCGTTCCCCAGGTCCTTGCAGTTCCTCCCATAGGTACATTCCCTACAGACGTGGGAACAGTGAGAGGGGGAGATTGACCTTCCATCCATTGGTTCATTCAACAAATGACCACAATGGCCAAGGCTGGGCCAAGCCAAAGCTAGGAATCTGGGGCCAGCGCTGTGGTGCATCAGGTAAAGCTGCTGCCTGCAGTGTCAGTATCCCATATGGGCACCGGTTCAAGTCTTGGCTGCTCCAATTCCAATCCAGCTCTTTGCTATGACCTGGGAAAGCAGCAGCAGATGTCCCAAGTCCTTGGGCCCCTACACCCACATGGGAAGATCTGGAGGAAACTCCTGGCTTCAGATTGGCGCAGTTCCAGCAGTTGTGGCCAATTGGGGAGTGAAACAGCAGATGGAAGACCTCTCTCCCCCCACCCCTGCCTCTCCTTCTCTCTCTGTGTAACTCTTTCAAATAAAATAAATAAATCTTTTTTGTTTTTGTTTTTGTTTTTAAAGTTAGGAACCTGGAACTCCATTGGTTCTCCCACATGGGTGGCAGAGGCCCAAGTACTTGGACCATTGTCCACTGCTTTCCCAGGCACATTAGCAGGGAGCTATATCAGAAATGCAGCAGCTGGAACTTGAACCAGTGCTCATGTAGTATGCTGGCATTGCAGGCTGCACCTTAACCCCCTGTGTCACAATGCCAGCCCTGAGAAGTAGATGTTTTCAGGTACCAGGTTATATGTGCAAGATATATATATATATATGTGAGGATATTCTTGAGAACACTGTGGAAACACAGTCCAGCTGTCTAACAACATCTCAGTGAGTATGCAAATTATATTTGTATGGAACAGTAAAAACAAGCAAGCTATAGATAGATGAAACGACATATTGTTGGGTGAAAGAATCCAGACAAAAAGAACATATGCTGTGTTTTTCCATTTATATTAAGTTCAAAAGCAAATTAAACTGTATTTGTTTAGAGAAGATAATTTGGTGTTAAAACAATAAAGAAAAACAAGGAATTGAATTCTATCATAGCTTGGATGGTAGTGTTCAAGGGTGTGTTGAGGGATGGGCACACAGGAGATTCTAGAATGCTGTCATGTTCTTTTGTGTTTTGTTTTAATTGTATTTCTTTGAAAGACAGAGAGTCAGAGAGGGAGAGGGAGAGACAGAGACTGACAGAGTTCTCTCAGCCATTGGTTCACTCCCCAAATATCCACACTGGCAGGGCTAGGCCAGACTGAAACCAGGAGCCGGGACTTCAGTCCTGGACTCCCATGAGAGTGGCAGGGAACCAAGTACTTGAGCCATCACCTGCCGCCTCTCAGGGCTGGGAGCAGAGGGGTGGCCCAAACCCAGGTGCTCTAGTATGGGATGTGGCATCCCAAGCAGCATCCTGACTGCTCTGCTAAATGCCCACCCCTGTCAGATTCTTTTTAATGGCCTGAGGGAAGCTACTGGGGTTTCCATTTTAAGTAACTTGGTAAGCTGTAAGTTTATGCTTTATGTACTTTTCTTTTCTTTTTTTTTTCCCTGCTTTGGCATCTACAAAACCCTAATTTTCTTTCTTTTTTTTTAACTTTTATTTATTAAATATAAATTTCCAAAGTACAGTTTATGGATTACAATGCTTCCCCCCCCCCCGATAACTTCCCTCCCACTCGCACCCCTCCCACCTCCCACTCCCTCTCCCATTCCATTCACATCAAGATTCATTTTCAATTATCTTTATATACAGAAGATCGATTTAGTATATATTAAGTAAAGATTTCATCAGTTTGCACCCACACAGAAACACAAAGTGTAAAATACTGTTTCAGTACTAGTTATAGCATTACTTCACATTGGACAACACATTAAGGACAGATCCCACATGAGAAGTAAGTACACAGTGACTCCTGTTGTTGACTTAACAATTTGACACTCTTGTTTATAGCGTCAGTAATCTCCCTAGGCTCTAGTCATGAGTTGCCAAGGTTATGGAAGCCTTTTGTGCTTTTCTATATATTTTCTAGATTTCACATTTTTTAATACAAATGGTTGGGTTGGTGCTGTTGTGGCATAGTAGGCTAAGCCTCTGCCTGTGGCACCAGCATCCCATATTGGTGCCGGTTCATGTCCTGGCTGCTCCTCTTCCAATCCAGCTCTCTGCTTATGGCCTGGGAAAGCGTGGAAGATGGCCCGAGTGCTTGGGCCCCTGCACCTGCTTGGGAGACCCTGAAGAAGCTTCTGTATCCTGAATTTGGGTCGGCTCAGCTCTGGCTGTCATGGCCATCTGGGGAGTGAACCAGCAGATGGAAGAACACCTTTCTCTCTGTCTCTCCCTCTCACTGTCTGTAACTCTACTTTTCAAATGAATAAATTATTTTTATTATTATTTATTTGAAAGGCAGAAAGAGACAGAATGCTCTTATCTGTTGAGTTAACTCTATCATAGCAGGGATAGGGGATGGCCCAGAGCCAGGAACTCTCTCTGGGTCTTCTTGGTGGCAGGAACACAATTACTTGGGCCATTACCACTGCTTCTCTGTATTAGCGGGAAGCTGAAATCAGGAGCCTGAGCTGGGAATTGAACCCATGCACTCCTATGTGGGAAGCAAGTATCTTAAACACTAGTCTAACTACCTGATTCTCAAATAAAAAAATAAAATCTTTAAAAATAATAATAATACAAATGGCATAATCTGTGTTGTCATCATGGGACAAATTGTTTTTAATAAGGTACATATATATATATATATATATATATATAAAAGATTTATTTATTTATGTGAAAGAGCTACAGAGAGAGAGAGAGAGAGAGGAGAAATCTTCTATTCTCTGATTCATTCCCAAAGTGGCCACAACAGCCTGGGCTCTGCCAGGCTGAAGCCAGGAGCCAGGAGCTCCATTCTGAATCCCAAGCACTTGGGCCATCTTCCGCTGCTTTTCCAGGCACATTAGCAGGGAGCTGGATTGGAAGTGGAGCAGCTGGGATTCAAACGGGCACTCATTTGATGCTCACATTGCAGATAGTGGCTTAAGCCACAATGCCAGTCCTATGAGGCTGTTTGTAGGAACAGCCAGGTCAGGAAGCAGCATTCTAGATTGGGCTTGCCTGGGTTGGAGATGGAGGTGCAGCTAACTTGTACAGTGTTGACTTTGTCAGACAGGATTCTGGCCACTTTTATGGGTGCTAACTCATTTAAGTCTCATAGCAATCCTTTGCAATAGATGCTGGTGTTATCCTCATTTTTCAGCATAGGAAATTCTTGCACAGAGAAGTGAAATAACATATCCCACCTCAAACAGCAAGCCAGTGGCAGAGCCAGGATTCAAATTCAGGTACTCTGACCCCAGAATCCATATTCTCAACTGGAATTCTCAGCCTCCAACTCTGTTCGAGTTATACCAAGGTCATGGTCTGTACCTGCAAATGACTGTGGTCCATAGGATGAGGCTCTCGGGTTTATGCATGGTTCTGGGTGAAAGCTGGCTGGAGTGAGGGCCCAGGTGTCTTTCTGCCTGACTCTCTGAGTAGAGGATTCAAAGTCTGCTTTAAATTAAGACTGATTCTCAGCTTGCTTCACAGATTCTCTGCATGCCCTACTAGCTTCCATGCCTAGTTCCACCTTATTTATGCTTTCCTGGAATGTTCACAAGATACCAACAGTTTTGCTCACTCATTCTCTGCT